TGCTCTTGCTGCGTCATCTCATTCCTGCAACGACACAGCGCGCCAAGCACAGCTAGTCCATGTTTGGCCCCCGGCCTGTTCCCAAGCAAAAAACCGTCAAGTCGGGTTATCCCCTTTACCCACTAACGGTACTCTGACACAAACAAGCACAAAAATCCCCTGCAGCTGCTTGATTGCTTCACCTTGCAAAGCGTGTACCCCTTTCCCAATGAAGTGTCAATGTGTGGCATACAGTACTTCAAAACAAGTGCAGAGATGATGTTGTCAAATGGATGGATGGATGGATGGATGGATGGATGGATGGATGGATGGATGGATGGATGGATGGATGGATGGATGGATGGATGGATGGATGGATGGATGGATGGATGGATGGATGGATGGATGGATGGATGGATGGATGGATGGATGCATGGATGGATGCATGGATGCATGGATGCATGGATGCATGGATGCATGGATGCATGGATGCATGGATGCATGGATGCATGAATGCATGGATGCATGGATGCATGGATGCATGGATGCATGGATGCATGGATGGATCATGAAGACATGAAGACCCAGTCTCTTGTGGCCCCAAACCAAGCATATGAACAACCCGCAGTTCTGGCGCCAGCGCTTTGAGGGCCTTAATTGTCTCCTGCTGGAAGCATTCTGAATTCCTGTGTGCTTGTTCTCTTTCCAAAGTCATCCCCGAATCATCTTTCATCAACCAAAGGAAATTATGTCACATGTCGACCTTCATCGAATAAGATAAGGTCAGGTGACCAAACATGGTCTGAATGCAAGTGGCCTAGATGAATGTACGCAAATATCCTGCCTCTAAGAGCGTCGGAAGCTGACAGGCATCTCTCCCTTCTAACTGGGGCACTGCCTAGGTCCGTTGTTTGCAGGCTAGTTCTGCTCGGGTGGAGCACTTGCAGCAATCCAAGGCTCCAGTTCGCAATGCGCCGCATACTGCCATCCTCATTGACAATGACCGGCCCGAGGTGGTCCATTTTCATGACCTGGAGGCAAGCATGTTGCGTTGCTCTGTGGCCTTGGAGCGATTTTTGGGAGCTACTGAATATATATATATATATATATCATTATACATATATGTATATATATATATATATGAATATATATTATATTATATATACATATAGTCAAACACACATCCGGAGAAAGCTCAATTCAAGTGATAAATGCACAATCTTTGAATTTGCGACTTCTCAGCTTGTGGTTTGACCCTACGAAGAAAGACAAAAAGTAGTCCATGTGACATGGCCAAACAAGCTTGCAGGATACATTAACGATTGCTTGCACTTCCTATTCAGCCAGTCCATGCCACGTTGGCCATTGTTTCCCATACCCCAATTGCTTTCACGGCATTGGCGCCCCGTTCGAAGGAGCGCAAAATGGGGGTGTCTTTGTTTTGGTCCTTTCCGGGGTCAAGCGAACCGAGTCAACCGAGAACAGTCAGACCCAAATGCTCTCGGAACGAAAGGCCGAGCCGCGCCGCCCAGCGCCAGGCGCGAAGGATCCGAATCCCCGGGCTCCTCCAAGTCCTCCAGCGCCAGGCCTTCGCCGACGGCGCAGCAGGGTGTTCTGTTCAAAAAGAGTGGCTTCAAGCTTTAGCCTCTTTGGCTTCAGTCCATAAGTTCTGGAGATAGAACCCCAGCTCGTCGAATCAGCCAGCAAAGAACTGTCCGAAATCCTTTGGAAGCTGAGCCCCCCTTTTCTCAGATCTTACCAATAGCCAAGCGGCCGCCTTCAGCATCACACCATTCCGGAAAACCTAACTGGCACCAGCCCCCCATGCAGCTGTTCATCCGGACTAATCTGGATCCTGCCAGCCCGCGCCTTGACCCTGGCCGTCGCCCCGCGCCAAGGCCAGCAGCAGCAGCAGCCAGCGCCGCATGGCCGTGCTCAAGGCTGCGGAAGCCAGCAGCTCAAGCAAAAGCTGCTCAACACATACCAAACAACAGTGGCTTCAAGAAGGGCCTGATTTCGTGTCCGTGATTGTTTTGTTTCTTGGTTGCTTTAGATTGGTGACGCGGTTTTGCCATGTGGCGGGTATGGCCGGTCTGGCCCAACAAACCAGTCGAACCATTGTGGGAACCAAGCTGCTCAGCACATGAGTTTGCCTGGTCATCTTCGTGTTCAGCAAACACCAAGCTGAACCAAGGAATGGTCATGTGTGATTGACAAGCGAGTCGTCCCACTTCCGACATCCTGCTACTGGTGACTCAATCTGACATCGTGGATTGCTACATGTTGTGCTGGATGTTGCTCCACTACAAACAAATGGTGCCATCATTAGAGAAAACAGCGCCTAACGCCTGCAGGTTTGAACCTGCTTTGCCACCTGCAACTGCGCTTGTGCCCGTGGCAGCGTGCGCTGATCTGGGCAGAGTTTCACTCAAGAATCCTTCGAATCGTAGAGTCCCACCCACCGACCCACAAACAAGACTTTTGCCTAAACAAACTGCAACAAATTCAACACACCTCCTCACATTTACAGCAATAAGCTGCTACATGAGACATGCGTTTGAAGAGAATGCCTGATAAAACTGAGAGAGGCATACAAAAATGCATAGTGTGAAACTTGGAGTCCATTCTTTAAACATTGGACATCAAACGAGCTCAGAGGTTGTCGATTCAGGCTTGGCCATTGTCATTACCAGCACCAGGGAAAAACATCCATGTTTGCTGTCTGTGGTCCCTACCCCCAGATCCCATCATAGCATGACTGACTCCCAAAGTTCACGACATCAGGATCGATTTCCCTGCTACGTCCAAATGCTGTTGGCAAGTGGGAGGTCCAGCTACAAAGCATCGATACAAACGCCCTACTCAAAGGCAACAAAGCAAGCCCAAAGGGGACTCAATACCCAAGCCCCAGAAAGCCCAAAAGACACGCCGAACGTTGGCTCCGACACTGCGGCTCCCGGCAGGTTGCGGGGTCCTTGGCACCCGCCAGGGCGCTGGAGCGGCCCGGCTCGCAGGGCCTAAAGCGACGGAACTCCTCATGCAAACGCATGAGAACAAAAAGCAAACCCTGCCTCTGAAGGATGGGTTTAAACAGGAAAGAGGAAGCCATCGGGACAAGCAGGCCAGTCATTGACCCATGTATTGGACGCAAATTAAACAAGACATCCATCAGACAAATAGAGTTGAACATCCCTTCTCCATCGGAATGAAGGAAGTCCCAATCCAAAATGTGATGGATCTAGGCAAAGCGCAAGAGATCATCATGTTCAATCACCCGCATCCCCAAAAAATGGGAATAAGCATGGAACGCAGAAACCCACATATGTCATGGGAGTCACTTCATTCAGGAGGCTCATGAGAGGTCCATGTGCCCCTGGTCATCCCTTAAAGTCACCTAAATCCCTTAGCAAAGCAAATGACTCTCTCCCAGTAGTCCACACAGGCCATGCAGGTATGGCCCATTACACAAGAAGCTGAGTCCCGCGCGTGCAGGAAGAGGTCTCGTTGCCCGTGGCGCCATAGGTGTTGCTCCTGCCGTGCCAGAACGGTTTGGCAAATCCATCCCCCAGCTGAAGCAAAGGCTGCCGGCCCCAACTAGGAAAGGATCCCTTACCGTGATTGGATCATGCCATCAAAAGAGATACCACTTATGTAGACGTGGCGGAGAGCGCCAACAGGAGAATCCACTCTGCTACTTCGCTAAATGCGTCCTGAATGTTTGGATCAGTCCGGTGCGGGAAGGAACCAGTGCAGGAGACCCGAGTTGGCTACGCAAAGGCTTTGCACAGTCTTGAAGACATGGATCCCTGAAGCACAGGCAAGCCATGCTTAAAACTTGGCGTACACATCTCCCACTGCACGGTGAAGCTGACCTGTGGCATCTCCGAACAAAGCGCTCAGTTCCATTCAAAAATTGGGGCTAAAAAAGCAAGGACGACCTCTGCAAGCTTCTGATACAAATGACATTGCTGTCAAAGAAGACCCGCAAATCTAGACCTTCAATTCGCTGTGTTCCAAGTGTCAGCCCAATATCAGCTCACGCCAGAGAAAGCCCTGTCCAGGAGCCGGCGTAACAATCCACGCAGTGGTCTGGCGAGAGGGCTGCGTGCGCAGGTGTGGTCTGTGAAGGATTGTGCCTAACTTCCAGCAAATGCTACCAGACACCCAAGGGACGGCGCCCACAGTTGGTGGCTCTCGGTATTTGGGATTCATCCAGAGAGAGAGGGAGAGAGAGAAAAAAAAAATGATATCTGTGCCTGGCCAATAGTTTTGGTAACTTTAAGCAGCAGCTTCCTTCCTCCAAGTATAGAAGGTTAAACAAAAGATGAGGCGCCGATGTCAAACTGAGTTTGATGCAATCGAAACGCACACAAGATGCCTGGCTAACACCGGGCAGTACCTGTGGACCTGGGCGACAGCCAGTTTTACCTCTAGCGCGCCTTTCGCAAAGCAGGAATCACCTCAGCTTGAGACGCCCTGAGAGTTATGCAATGCAAAAATGACCTTTACAATTTGTTGATTGTCCTATGGTTTGTTGGAAAAATGCGGTTGCAGACTGCCTCGTGAAACTTTCAACCAAACATCTGATTATGCCGTCAGTCCACCTAATTAGAAGAGATTCGCAGGCGTTCCGGGCCCTGCCCCAAACGACAATCCCTCTGATCTTGGTGAGGATTCTATCACAAGAGACAGCCCCTCTTCTGCAAGCACAAAAATGAATCTCGTCGAGCATCCTCTCAAGCCCCGCCGCTGCGGCACCAGAAACACCAATACACCACCCTTCGACTGGGCTGATGCTTCCAGAAGCAAACCGGACACAAAAAAGAAGTCTCCGAATAATGAGGCCTCCCACACTTTCGAGACACACTCACCTGCTGTACCTGCTATGCCCCCCCTCCCGCGCCAAGTTGTCAATCCATTTAACCCGAGCCTCAAACACCCCAAGCCCGAGGCCGCCAAGGCCTTGAATGCCTGAAACGCGCGTTTGGACGGAAAGCACGGCTTCGTTCGCCGTCAAACCGTCAAACGCACTGGAAGGAGTTCTGCAGGAAGGTCGCCGCGCCATTCGCGGTGGCGCTGGCCGCGGCCGGAAGCACCAGATTCACCAGCTCCAAGCCGCTCGAGGCATGGGCGCCCTGGCCCTCCAGGCGCTCCGCAAGAGCTGCCAGGGCGCCCTGGCAGAAGTGTATCGCCCTACCCTCGACACCAGAATGATTCCATGAAACCAAGGTTCGCAAACAGAAGTGCGCGTCGGCACCTGAAATTTGTCGCTTTTCGACCCTGTCAAGACCGTTAAGCCAGGTTGGCCTACAACACCCTTGCTTTGAATGTCCCAATGTGACCGATTGCCATTTGTGCTTATCTTGTGTCAGAAGTCAGGAACACTCCTGATTGTGGCATTCCAAATGCATAAGACGGAATCTGTTTTCACCCGAGTGTGGATTTCAGCTAAGGAAGTACCAAAAGTAAACCCATTCGGTGCAGACAAGTAATGATTGGCAGAGATACAGCAGGACATCTCGGTTGCGATGGACCAGTCTCCGCCCATGCTAATCATCACAAGAAAGCTTTGCTGAAGTGTAAAGTCTTGGAGCACCCAAGAAGAAACCTGCAGTACGGTGTTTGGATTTCCCCCAACAGGTCAGGCCAGTTTGCAAAACAGGCTTGACTTGCGGAGAAATTCAGGGAGTCCCGCGTCGCTCGACTCTCCCGCCTTCAGGGCCCGCAGCACGTTTTCGGCCCGGCGAGGCCGCGAGGCCCCCGCCTTGTCCAACTGCAGCGGCAGCGTGAGCTCCGCCACGTGGCTCCGGTGGCAGTCGTGGCAGATCCGGCGCAGAGCCCGGTGCATGGCCGGGATCAGCTCGTCACCCTCGTCCGAGGCCAAGTGGAAAGTGACCTGCAGCCCCAAATTGGAGTGGCGAGTACAGGCGTAGTCGCCCTTTTGCAGTGGCCGCACCGCAGCGAGCTGCTCCTCCAGCGAGGGGAAGTGGAAGTCCGTCTCCTTGTGGCACCGCGCGGCGAAGTCTCGGAGTGCCCCCCCGTCCAGCGGCAAGTTCTCCGGCACCGGGATGAGCAACCCCCGGAGCCGCTCCGCGTAGGCCGAGGGCGACAGGTGCAGGCACGGGAACCTCGGGGTCTTCCAGAAGCGCAGCGACGCGGACTGGAAGACGGAGCTGTCGGACTGCAGGGGCTCGGCCGACTGCAGCTTTGGCGTCCGGCGCTCGTTGACGTCATAGCTGCCCAGGCCCAGAAAGCCCTCGGGCAGCTGCGGGCCCGCATCGTCCACGACGGTGTCCGTGTCCAGGTCCACGAAGTCCATGAGGTCCCCGACCCAAAGTCGCAAGACGAAGAAGGCCTGACCGAAGACTGTGCGCACCTCACAAATCTTGGACAGATTCGGGGAGCCCTCGTCAAGAAGCGAGTCTTCATCTGCCGTGTCTGCTGTTCTTCCGGGCAGCGTCGGCTGTGGCACTTGGTTCAGCCTCTCTTGGTCAAAAAAGTCAACCACTAAGTCCCTATATGAAGCCTTCTGCTTGGTCATCAGCTGCTCTATTTCGCTCTGCCAGTGCAGCTCCAGAGCATCAATTTCACTCACGTGCTGTCCCACAAGCACTTGGATATCCGGCACACTCTCCGCACTCTCCTCGGTTTGCTGGCGCACCCGCTCCATTTCCATGCTTTGGCATCGCTGCAGCTCTGAGATGGCGCTGGCACGGCCCAGGAACAACTCGCGCACCGCCCGCAGATTGGAGGCCTCCAGAGCGCCGATCGTCCGAAAGAAGCTGGGCCTGTGCCGCAGCAAGAAGTCGTACGCGCTCCAAAAGGTTGCATCCTGAGGCGCCAAAACCGCACGCTTCCATTTCGGGCTGGACTCCTTTTCAGCATCCGCAGCGGCACTCACAGCACTCACAGCACTCACAGCACTCAGCCAGTTCCGGCCCAAGTCGATGGGTGCTTCCCGCCCATCATCGCTGAGTGCCTCCCTCAGGGCCACAGCCACGTACTCCAAGGTCTGCTGGAAGAAACAGCTCGGCAGCTGCCCTGCGCGATACGCCTGCAAGATTCTGCTCAAGACGTCGTCACCCTCCCAGAGCTGCAGGCTCAGCAGCAGCTGGTCAGCACCCAGGCGATGCAAGACGCGCAAGGGAATGTCCCGAGGCGCCTGCATTAAGCTGCCCGGCAATGCGCATTGCCCTGCCGATTTAACTGCATCTATTGCCCCACTGCTGCGGACATGCAGCTAATTGACGGTCGTGTGTGTTACATTCTCCAGTGCTGCAATGTCAAATGATGCAAACAAATATACAACGCTCACGACTCCCAACATTCTTAACGCACTGAGGAATGTTGCCAATCCTTGGACAGCCTACCAATGCAGAGCGCGCAAAGAGTCTTGAGCCTGAAAAATGCGGGCATGCACCCCGTCAACAGCCCAACATTCCCCCATCAAAGTCTTTGGCGCCTGCACCAGCCTCGCTGAACTCACCCGGAGGGCCTGACAGCTGTCATCTTATGCTTGGCTAGCATTGGCAGCATTCCGAGAGGTTGCTGGCTCCATGGCAAATGAGAGCCCGATGTGGCGTGACAACTATATGTGTGTCTCCTCGCCTGTGCGCCCCCATCAAACCTATTTCTGACTGTGGGCAGAGGCATTTTGAGGAGAGAGTGTTGGATTGTCTGTCAATTCGTACCTGCTCTGAATTTCCAACCTGGATGCCACAAAAACATACTGGCCATGACCCAGGAATCTAGATTGAACTCTGACGCTGACAACACGTCCAATGATAACTAACGTGCATTCAGGCGCCATCCACCAGTGCGTTCGATCAAGTCGTCACGAAGGTTAAGGCCTAAAACAAAGTGAAAGGGGAATCATGGTTCAATGCAAAATTACATATTTGCAAAACTTACTACATAAAAACGACGGAGAGGTAGTTACAGGATCAGATTTAGGGGATAAAAAAGGACAAAAACATCACTCAACAGCAGTGACAAACTTTCTTTATAGGAGTAACTAAGATCTATGCTCTGACGCGACTAGCTGATGTTCCAAACTGGATAGGGCAGCAGCAACCAACTGCAAGTTGACTCTGTCTCTGGAGCCTGTTGAATGTAGTGCGTTCTCACTGCATAAAATGTGCTTGAACATCAGAATTAGCCCCCCCCCCCCTGCCCCATGACCAGCTCCCCATAAACGGGCATGTCTAAAGCTTCACAATGTCAATGTCCAATGGACTTGCCTGTCTCAACCCCGGCCACCCAGCCGGAGATCTGGACTTGCTGAGATGACCTCTGACAACAAGGGTTCTACCAAAAAGATGAAGCTTTCCAAAGGCCCCTATCAAACAAGGAGTCGGATCCCGGTGCTAAATTCGCTGATAGTGTGTCCAAAGTTGTGCGCCTCTGCCCCCAAAGCAGTCTCAAAACTCGGTGCCCGCACACAGAGCGCAGGCTTTGGCGCCGGAAGCACCGGTTCTGGCGGTGTCAGCTGCGTGGCCCATGCGGATGGCTTTGGTTCTTGATGAGAAAGTGTCCCGAATCATTGTCCATCCGGGAACGAGACATCTACGGCGTCACTGTAGCAAAAGCTTGATGGCTATCATTTCGACCGATCCGCGACATATAAGCAGGACAAACAGCACTCCTAGTCGGAAACTTTTCCATCTTCACAGACTCCAATGCGGTAGGCCATGCGGTGAAAGGTTCTCTCAACGGGGAGAAATTATATTTGTGATCCCGTGCACCAAGAATCCGAACCGGTCTTTTAGCCTTGCCATAGTTCCGGAAATGCAAGCAGAGTGTTTTGACAGTCTCAGAACATCTTCGGGGTCTGGTCTGGACTCTGAAGTTGGCCCCGGCATGCAGGCGCCAAGCGAAACATCTTCAGACCCAAGGCACTTCAGACAAGTTCAGAAATCAGGAGGCTAAATCTTCCGACGGAGCCAACCGCAGCTGCCATCCGACATCGCAAAACCATCGCGCATGTAGATCGTTGCCAGGGAACAAACAGACAAGATCAAGCCCTCAGCTCCCAAGTTGCCTCACCCGAAAATGGCCTTCTGTTGTTTTAAAGTCTGCTTAGCCCTCGACCAAGCCCATGTTCTCACCGGCCGTGCCCCGCTCTAAGCTCCGGACATGGCCGAGTAGCGCCCCGACATGCACAGGATGCAGACCTCGTCGGTGGCGGCGCCCTCTGCGCCTGCCCACCTGCTCGGATGTGCTGCGTATGCGTTGATGCGTATGCGTTGTGCTCTGACAAGCCGGAATGGCTGAAAGCCCGGAATGCGTGCTCACGGAGTGAGGGTAGAGGGACACAAGACAGCAACTTAAGCTTCATCCATTCCGACTGCGCAGAGGAAGAGCTCTCAGTGGTCAAGCTTCTCGGACTGCAAGCAATGCCATCCATCTAGCAGACCGAAGGAGTCTGAAAACTGTTGGGTTGAAAGCAGGGATCGCCCGCCAAAGCCACGCCCCAAGCCCAAAACCCAAAGCCCAGGCCTTCCCACGCTGCAGTTGAAGCAGAATTCGGGGCCCTTGGTGCCCTCGAGATTTGTCCACCTGGAGGGAGTTGCATTGGAAGAGCTCTCCACTTGAGGGGGGAAGAAAAGGAGGGATAGATCAAGGGATGGGCTATTGATCACATTTCACAATTCAAGGTGCTTGACGCATGGCACTGTGAGCGCGCCCTCTAACAGTACAAGGCAAAGCTTTGGGCAAAACGAGACAGCTACAAAAGCGAGGTCTGACCAGGCAAGCAAAGCAGTCAACAAGTGTAACCCACCGAGGCCGTTTCCTAATATGTCCCCTTTCATCATCCCGCCGAAAGGAAGCTCATGCCAACATGGCAACTGCTTCAATCACCAAAAACGGAAATCTAAGGCTCCGCAGAATATCCCAGACAACTCGGAGCAATCTGCTCGGATCGCCCCAACCCTTTGCCTGCCCGAAGGACATGGTTGGCAGCTCGTCGCCTTGGAGAGCGAGTGTGTATGATATATATATATATACACATAGACGGTGT